GGGGCATCAATGCAGGGTCGCGGCGCCTCGCCCCGCCCCATCGGAATCCGGACACACGTGCGTCCCCCAGGAGCCAGAGGCCCCGGCGCGCCGTGCATACGACTGGCGCAGCACCCGGTCCGCCATGTGCCCACACGCAGGCCTGCTGCGTGGTCCATGAGGGTGGGCGAGGGCCGCCGAGGGCTCCCGCAGCAAATGGCCGCGTAATGAAATTTTTCGTAGAAGAGCCTTCGTTTCATCCAGATTGTAATATGGGCGGAGCTGAGCAAAGCAGCGTTTTACCGTTGTTTTCTGGATAAGGCTCTTTTCTTCTTACTTCCTGTTTCTGTATCTCTCTTGTTTTCCTGACTAGATTGGCCAACTTACTAGTTTTTAAAAAATTTTGTTTTTTCCTTTTTTTAAAGAACCAGCTTTTGGATTTCTTTATTGATTCTATCATTCTCTGTTTTCTAAATCCTTCCTCTTTTCTTTAGTTCTTTCCTTGCCCTTCTGTCTGCTTAACTTGCCTGAAGTTGCTCTTCTTGAATTAGATGCTTATTTGTTATTTTCGTCTTTTCTTGTTGTTGCAAGTAAACAAGACTGAATTTTCATCAAATATTCTTTTAGTTTCAGGTGCGTAGTGTAAAAGTTTAGTTCTCAAAATGTTCAAACGTGTTTTTACACAAATAGCTATGGGTGGGTAGCTGTGCGGCAAAGTGCCCTTCACCCCACTGACGAGGAAGCCGTGGCTCGGAGGTGGGAGGACCTGGGACCCCGTCAGTGGGGAGGGGTCAGTGAAGTAACAGCCCGCGTCAGAGCCAGCCTGGTGTGTGTCTCGGGGGCAATGCAGGCACAGCCTTGGGTCACTTGTCTGCCTTTCCACAAGGTGACCTCTGACTTCCCAGGGCCACGAGAGGAGCCCCCCGAGCTGTGCCCTGTGTGGGGCCCACGAGGGTGCTGGCCGGACCCTGAAATCACAGCCCTCCCGCCGCCTTATCTCCAGCTTCCGGTGCGTCTCCCTGGGCGCCGGGCCCCCGTCACCCTTCCTGGAACTCTGCAAGGAGAGCCCTCCTTCCCTCTTCGGCGCAGTGGTTTTGTGCGAAGGTTCGAAGGCTTTGTGTTTCCTGGTGTTGCTTTACCTTTGCATGACGTCGCCTTGTGAGCACAGAGCACCGCCCGGCTGCACCTGCTCTGGGATCCACTGAGGTGCCTTTGGGCCCGGATGCGCGGCCAGTTCTCGTGACTGTGTCCTGGGCGCTTGGGAAGCACCTGACACGTGTGGGTCAGACCTGTGCCGACCGCCTGCTCAGGCCCGTGCGCATGCTGTGAGGACGGTGCGCCCACGAGGGTGCCTCTGCCTGGTCCTCCCTGCTGGCCTCGGACTCCCCTGCTCTCAGCGCCCTGGTCCCACGCCACGGGGCACGTGGGTGTCGGCGGCCCTTCCGTCCGTGCTTTAGCTTTTCACCTCCATCCCTTTGCTCGTGGCTTTTGCCTGGAGTCTGGCCTGGTGCGATACGAGGATCACGGCTTTGCTGTCCCTCAGGGATTTGTGTCTTCGTGGTTCAGTTTACCTGCAGTCAAATGCGCAGGTTCTAAGCGTCACGTTCAGGTGGGTTTGGACAAGCGCACACAGCCCTGTAACCCCACTCCCACGAGGCCCCTGATGTCCCTTCCCAGCGGATCCCATCCTCCCCCAGGACAGCACCACTCC